CAAGGCCAAGTTTCGAAGGAGAGCTCAAAAGAAGCTTCACCCAAGATTCCCTGCCGCTGCTGTGAAAAAGAAGTGTTAGGCTGGAAGCCTTCTGGGAAAGGGTGGGGAAGAGAAAGTGAGAGATAGAGAAAGAGAAAAAAGAAAGAGATAGATATATAGAAATAAAAATACAGGTAGAGATGGAGAGATAGAGAGACAGGGAGATATAAGAGATAGAGAGATAGAGCGACCGAGCGGTAGAGCGGTAGATCGAGCGATAGAGCGGTAGAGCGATAGAGAGATATACAGCGATAGAGAGATAAAGAAGTAAAGATGTAAAGGTAGAGATATACAGGCAGAGATACGGATAAAGGTACAGGTTGAGGTCGAGGTAGAGGTATTATATATAGTGGTGGAGGCAGAGATAGCGCTGAAATCTATTGATGTCAGAAGTGTTTCTCGTTTGATTTGAGATAACATTTCTATTGATTTTATGGAAAATTTCTATTGATTTTATGGAAAATTTCTATTGATTTTATGGAAAATTTCTATTGATTTTATGGAGATTTTCTATTGATTTTGATGTGGAGGTTTCTATTGATTTTTATGTCGCAGTTCTATTGATTTTGAGGATTTAAATTTCTATTGAAAAAGATCGTTTTCTATTGAATTTGATCGACACAATCAAAACGCTGAGAATTTTCAATCCCGCTTGATTTTTTTCAATCGGCGGTCCTCTGGGTCGAGGAATCGAGTTCCGACGCGAATCTGCTTCTGCGATCCTCCCAGCTTCTTTGTCGTGCGACCGTGGCTGTTCACCACAGTCCGGGAGACGCAGATCATCACTTGGAACCAGTATCCTCCGCCGAGGTATGTGCCAGACGCGTAGCTGCCGGCAGCCTCGGAAGCATGTCCAGTCACCCAGACGCATGGTTCGTGACTTCCATGATCGTCCGTCACGTAATCCTCCCCGAACAGACCTCCGTGTGCAAGAATCGACCAGAGGTATCGGAGGTTCGTTCCGTGAAGGAACGTCCCCTGAGGATCGTATATGTCCGAATTCATCGCGGGGACATACACCCATCCATCAGTCGGGCGGATGGTAGTCTGCCCCGCACCGTCCTCATAGGTCATAGGGGTGCTGGCTCCCCAGTTAAGCGTATCGAGTCCAGCGTGGGAAATCGGTTAAGAGCCTTGAGTGCCAGAAACGCTCCAGGGATGAAAGAAAGCCGCGGCCTGAGCTGCAGAAATCCTTTGAAGAACTTCACAGCCTCAACCTGGCTGACCGCCTCCCTCGACAACTCAATGGGCGACAGCTTGGTGAGGTCGTTGTGTTTGATACTCGTATCGGTCCTCAACCATTGCTGTTCCGCAGTCGAACTGCTGTATCCCATGAGATTTCGGTTCCAGCTCGCAAGAGGCGACGGGATATAACAGGTTCCCATGAGACGGAGCGTATCGTTGCTCAGCGTATCTCGGGATCCCTTAAAGCTCTGCGCTTGGAAGAGCATACAGTGGCGAGCCAGCGCCATCGTAAGGTCCATTTTCTCGCGGACCCCCGCGGCGTGACCAGACAACGTCGCCACTCGGGAAAATGCAAGAGCGCACATCACCCTGTAACGGTCGATGAAGTCCATAAACTCTCGGGGGTACTGCTTCCTCTGCTTATCCGCGAGCGGATGAGTAGTGAGAAGGAAGGAGTCAACCAGCTGGTGCAGCTTTTGATCGTAACCAGGGTTGCATGTCAGCTGCTCGAGGCGTTGCCAGATTGAGGCCTGTGGGATCTCTTGGATCCCGATCTTCAGCATCATCGCCTTCATCCTCAATCCTATCGGAATGTCCTCGGAGCGCTTTCCACCCCCGGTAGACTCATCTCTGGGAGTCTGAATCGGGACAGGGTCTTCATCGGTGCCCATGTTAGAATCAGCCTGCTCCGTGGGGATCGGCGGGGCAGGAGGCCTTTCCGTAGTCGGTGCAATCGGACCGCTCGGAAGGCCTTCCCCGCATAGCGAGGGAGACTTCGGCTGAGGTGATCGGGCAGCCGGTGTCTTGGCAGCAGCCTTCTTCGGTGGCTGCTTGTTCTTTCCTCCCATCGTTCAGCAGCGGCGGCAGCGCGGGGAAGTTCGCAGCCCGTGGCAGCTACAACCTGTCCTAGCAGGGAGCGCAAGTGGGCTATAGATTGAGTCGTAGTAGAGGTGGTCTGTGATGGTCGGTCGATGAAGGTGATCTATGATCGTCGTCCCTAGAGCTCCTTACCAAGCTGTAGTCAAGTGTGAGTGTGCAAGTGTGTGTGTGTGTGTGTGAACATGGCCTTGGCGTCTTTGTTTAAGCAATCGGCAACGCGGATTGCTGTGAGCCAAAGATCGCATAATTCATGAAATGTTCAAGCACAGTCCACAATGCAAGTCGAAGCTCTTTTGGGTCGGCCCTTTTGGCCTTCTTGTGATTGCATGCAAATCGCGACATGAAGATGGGCCCAAACCGGGCAGGCATGAAAATCTCGCACATCCATGCATGCTCACGAGCATAGTTTGACAGGGCATAGCTCGTGCGACTCAGACCATCGTCTTATGTACTCCCTACCCCACAACGGGTTTCCTTTCGGTAGCACAAGGAACACAGGGATTCCGGATGAACGGGCAGCGGAAGCATACCCAAGTAGTTTCTTGGCTTCCCATCCTTTTTCCTTTAAGTCGCCCCTCATTTCTTTCCAACCCCTGTTCTTGAAACCAGCTTCTCTTTTGTTAGCGGTGCCAGCAATCGGAACAGTGACAATACATACCGCAGGCGTAGGCGGAACCCTGATGTTCGAAATAGCAATCCCCTTTGCATTATCATCGAGACTGAGATTGATACTTCGAGCATGAGGGAATCGGATTATGCCTTCGCCTCCGATATGAATACATTTTACTGCTGCTCCGAATTGGTTAGCATCATCGATTGAAATACCCCCCTGACGAGACATGTCGAGGATGAAATCGTTGAAGGGGCTATGACCGGTTTCAAGATGTACCCCCCTGGTTGGACAGACAGAGGGGAGAGCAGGGAGAGCGGGAGCGGCAGACAGCATACCAGAGGAAATAAGAGTACCCTTACGAAAATGACCAATAGACATAAGGTTGCGGCCCCACACCTTGGCATCAGTGCATGCCTTGGTCAGAATATCACCAGCCTCGAACTGAGAGGGACACGTGACGAACATAAAGTCTCCAGCGTGGTAACGCTCGTTTAGCGCAGAAATATCGATACGCTGGGTACGAGACATGTGACGCATGTTCGGATTGTGACCAGTGATAACGACACGAATAGCGGCCTCATTGTCTTCCATGACCCGCAAGCGGAAACGGCGGCCCATCATATACTCCCACATAGACAGAGCAGGCAGGCCCAATTTATACACAGCGTGGTCAAGAGAGACAATTTCGGCCTCGGGGGTAGACTTCGACACAGAAGTTTGCTTCTTGGACAAAGCATTAAGCGGCATAAAGCTGCGCGGCCCAAGAAGACACATAAAGACACCAGAGGTGCTCTTGGAATCAGTACGGTCACCCGCAAGATCGGCATCGCAGTAGAGCACAAGCTCCAGCATCTCTGGTGCATCACCAATCCACCCATACAAATTGAGATCGAGGGTAGAATTGATATAGCACACCAGTCGATGGAGTTTCTTATCACATAAGCCATCCCACTTGGTGATGAGACTGGCGAGTGCCTGCACAGGACGAATCAAATCGTACCGCCCCATGCGAGCACCATACAAGATTTTCATCAGAACGGCGGCTGCACAATCGCCGAGAACGCCTTTACCAGGAGGGACAGGCGTGTCAACGGGATGGCCCATCAGGCGGTTCACAGCAGGTCGATCCGGATTGGTATCGAACTCCGGTCGCGATTCATCGAGGAATGGCGTGTCAGCCGACCGCAAGGTGGCTTTATACTTAGGACCACAGAGCTCAACATAGCGAGAAACACATTGTTCCATGAACGATCGCATATCGTATTTGATCATTCGAATTTCTCGAGGACCAACAGAGCCCTGCGCGACACTCGTGTCTCGATCGCCAAATGTCAGCTCGGGAAAAGCCTTCTTGGGTGCCTCGAAGCGCGTCCAATAGGAGCGCGGATCAAAGGCACTAGGAACCACGTGGGAGAAGGTAACATGCTCGCATCCCAAGTAACGTTTGATGCTCGAGGGCGGCTCCAATTTAATCTTCGATGCCATGAGCTCCCACCCTTTGGCCAGATTGGCCTTTGGTCCACTGAGTTTAAAATCATCGACGTAGACCACGAGCATAAGATTAAGTTTGGGATGACGAAACACACTCTTCCAGTCAGGACATTGCTCGAACCCAACTGAACGAAGAGCCCTCTCACAGTGCTGTTCCCAGAAACCACCGGCATCCGGATGCCCATAAAGGGCCAACACTAGGCGTACGACCGGATCGTGATATTTGCCATGCCATTCGGGCAACCAACGATCCTTGGGCAAGCGGACCCACGTTGCCGGGCCACCAAGCTGAGCCTGGGTATAGGCAGATTCGCCATCGGCAACCTGTATTTCATGACCAGGAAGAAGGCCGAAAGCATCGGCGGCCTTTCCAGCTTCCATGGTCGCGGGGCAAGAGGTGATCTCGGAGAAAATAGCCCAATTATTGCCCTCGTCTTTGACATGGCATCCTTCAAACACCACTCGACCCTTAAATTTGCGGTTAGGGTCGGACTCCGGAAGCTCGGAATTCTTCTCAACGCATATATCAAAGATACGGCCAACGTGGGCCGTTTCCCCTTTCGCCATAGCCTCGTTAGACACATCGCGCCACTCACGCACGGATGCGTAGTCCCAACATCCTTGGTTGATGAGCTTATTCCACTCCTTGTCAAGGGCGGCTTTCGCCTTGGGATTAGCGGCACGCTCTTTTCGGTCAACGGGCCGTGCTACACACGCACTATAGAAGAAGACCGATGAATCGGGAGATCGGTGTGAATGAGGATCAGGGCGAACAGGCATTGCAGGCGCTGTATCAACAACATTGACCGTCATCGGATGGTTCAACCGGTGCAGAAACATCGCCTTCCACATCGTCTGCGGTGAAATCGAGTTCAACCGCTGCCAAAACGGAAGTGTAAAACTGAACCACCGCAACGTCTTGTCCGGGCTCGACTACAATATCGTAGTCGGTAGGATTGAGGACGTCAACACCGGACTGAGTGGCCCCTTCATTGTATGTGTACATGGCCGGGCAAACATCGAGGCCACTACCGCGGAGCGGCTGAAGACGGGCGGACATACCACCCGGGGGCTCGAACTCAAGATCCGTAACGACACAGGCGCGAGATTGGGCAGGCACAACCGTACGGCCCTTTGCACGCAACGCGTGTCCACAATAGCCATTGGCAGTCTGCACGCGTCGCCCCGTGTCATTGGTGTTCGGCATACGGGTTCGAACTTTAATCTGCGTTTTGGCGGAAGAACCAATAACGAAGACTGTCTTTCCAGTCCATCGGCAGGGCAGAGATCGAGCCTCGGATGATCTCCACGAGTCCTGCAATGTGAACTCGGTGCCGTCGGTCATGGCCATAGTCATTCTGACATCAGTCAATGTTGCAGGATCAACGGGACAATCTTTGACGGAAGTAGGGTTGAAGCGCGCTCGGCGTTCGATCACATGAAATCGGGTGATCGTGCCAGCTGCGACATCGTGATACCAGTAATCCTTGTCATGTCGTTCGGCACCCGACTCATATTCTGAATCGTAAGCGATGTCGACAGGAGCGGCATCGCGAGAATCCTCTCGGGACATGGCATGAGACTCAGCTTCTCGGCGCTCAGCCTCTACGTATCCCTCCCGTTCGGCGCGATTCATGCTGCGCCAGGATTCTGAGTCAATAGAGTTCGGTTTTCGAGACCCTTTATATGCCCGCTCGGAACGCGGCACACTCTGACGATAAGGCAAACCCCCCTCGCCTTCCAGGATCTCCGACCCGTGGTAAGGAGGTAACTTCTTCTTGGGTGGGGCATAGCCGTCATCATAAAATTCGACAGTGCCGGTCCAGAGCTGCATGAGTCTTGTCTTGCCGAAGGCATACCCGGTCTCATAGATCGTAACCGGGCTTCTGTCCTTGTATTGGACATGTGATATACGCACCGTGCTCAGCTTCCATGGATCAGGCGACTCCCCAACGGAACCGGGAGTCTTACTGGGATGAACCATCGCTTTCCGTGGAACAACGACGTGATACGTCCATTGGTGCACAGATGGATCATACTCCCAGTAGTCAACACCTCCTCCATGAGAGGACTCTGCTCGTAACTCAGCCTCGCGAGCCTGGCGAATATCTTCATCGGTCATTCGCGTTGACTCATCAAGGGCGAAGATTTCATCGATATCTTCGAGATCGAGCATGTCGGAGGCGTCAAGACGCTCACTTGGCTTTGGCACATTAGAATGCATCGCGGGATCGTTGATGCACACTGATCGTGTCTGTTTATCGTACACAGCCAGCATCGGAAATGTCCATCGCTCCTTGGGTGAGCAGTATATCTTCTTGACCTGATGGACGCTTGCACGCAGTGCGTCGCGCTTGAAATCTTCAAGGTCGGCGACTATATAGTCACCGTCCCACCTGCCCCATTCTCGAAGTGGTAACCCAGAAACACGCCGGGTTTGCTCGTGGGAGAGAATTTGCTGGGGCGCTGGTAGGATGATAGGCGTTGATCCATGTCTGGTCCTTGGAGGGATCCAGATCGATCGTCATCTCCATCGTCGATCCACTCGAGATAACCATCATCATCGAATCCAACTTCGACTTCGACCAATCCATCATCTCCAGGCGCAGGTACGGCATATTCCTCACCATCGCCGAGTACGACTTCATCTTTCTGACTACGCCGGGTTTGTTTTCGTGCCGGCGTGGGATAGAAGTCTACAAGACATCCGAATGGGAGAACCTGACCGTCAAATTCGGCACCATCAAATCGTAGCGAATACGCACTTTGTCCTTCGCGTAACTCGATGTTGCGAGCATGACAAAAGTGCTTACACGCATAAGGCCAGAATTTGGCGCTCAGGCCCGCTTGTCGAAGTGCCACTCGTGCGCCATGAAGGACAAGCTTCACCTTGCTCTCGGCAATGGCATTAGTGCGAGGCATGCCAGGAGTGGAATGCTTTACAGAGATGCCGACTCTTTTGCAGGTCGATATGAACTCACGGGCTTTATCACAGTAGATTTCCCGGATCGCAGAAGGTGCATACCTTCTCTCCACATCCATGGAGAACGAGTTCACATCCTGAAGGTCGCCGAAGACCTGCTGGAACGCTCGAAGCGTGTCGGCATTCGTCCTCCCCTTGACGGGAACACTCTCTAACCACTCAGTTGCTAGATCGTAGAAGACAACAGCATCTGTTTCCCCATTATTCCCGCGATTGCCAAGCCCGTGCAACACCATAGTATCGATGGTGACGTGCTCGCCAAATTTCTCAAACCCTTTATCGCGTGGTGAGTCTTGGCGAAACGATTTAACGTTTTCCATCTTTGCACGTTGGCATGCATCGCAGTAGGGATTCTTGGGTAGATGAGTCATGAGGTGACGGATGGACTTAGCCTCCTCCCTCAGATCGCGCGCTCTCGGTTCATCGGGCGGCGACTGATGCTTAGGTTTGTTGGGCACCTTCGTGACATCGTCAGGCGCTCCTTTCTGGGCACTCTTAGCACCAGGCATATCAAGATCGAGCTCTCCGATATCGTCTAGCTCGCCCACAGGTTCTTCACCCACAGCCACGATTTTCTCGTGAATAATGATCGGTGCTGGGAGTGCCGGATACACACGAGGGAGATCAGGTCGACCCGCGACTACCTCGGTTTCGCTCGGAGCGAGGTAGGGGATGTTATTGATAACATCAATCTTGAGTTGTCTCCCTTTGGGATCAAAGAATATCGGATCGCAAAAGGGTTCCCAGATAAATCGGTAACCAAGCTCCTTGCATCGTTTCCCTAGGGAAAGAAGACTTGGTGTGCTCTCCAGCACATAAGCTTCAATCAGCTCATCGAGGCCGTCAATGCGCATATGGGCAACACCTTTGGTGTTAGTTTTCCCATTGGCGGTCCTAAGGCTGATCTTAGCATTCTGAACTATCAGGTCCCTTTCCTCGCGGGACAGATCACCGAGACCAATAAGGTCTATACCGCAACCGGAGTCGAGCATTAGTCTCCGGACCCTCTTAATAGACTTGACAGCAGCAGCAAAGACCTCGCAAGCGCTCCGCTGAGAAAGCGTGAGCTCAAGAACACAAGCATCATTACCTAGCGTTTTGGCATCAACGTCATCGAGCAAAACCTGCTCTCTCCAAAGCACAGCCTTCATGTGCGCCCTTCGCCTCTCGCGAGCACTATTCAGACCACGGATATCTTCCGGCCACGAATAGTTCAAATTCCTCTCGCGATTGACGGGACCGAAGTTTGGCTCCGGGAAAGAAGACTCTATCACGCGGGTCTCAGTATTCCCAAACGATACTGTCTTCCGCTTGACTGACGGACATGCCATATCGAATGATGCAACGCAAGCGAAGGCGAAGTCTCCATAGGAGGATGCTGTCATTGCCTGAGGGTTGCGGCACGCCCCTTTCAAAAATCCGAGGGCGTAGGCGCCGGGCTGTCAACCCGCCTTGATGTCGGCGCGGGCTCAGCAGGCGCAGGAGCGGCGGCAGGAGTGCTCTCAGCTGGGGCACCCGGCTTCACATGCTTATAGGGACACTTGTCACCTCTCGAGCAAGTGCCTCGTGCAAAATAGAAGCAGATACCAGACTCCTTTGAAATCGGTGACTGAGATCGAGGCGGGAAACCCTTTGGCGAGGAGCTTCTTCCCTTCAGGTTGTGGGAGAACTTGCATCCGCTTCCTCGCGTGCATCTGCCTTTCTTGAAATCGTAGCAGATTTCCCGTCCTCGCGGGGATCGCGACATCGGGCGAGTCGGTGCGGGAGCTGCTCGTCCCGGACTGCGGGAGTATCGCCTTGGCGATCCACGTCGCGGGGAGGATCGTCTGGGTGACGAGCGTCTCGGCGAGCTCCTTCGGTACGGACTCCCTTTTCTGGAGTCACGACGCCCAGGCGATCTCGACCCTCGTTGACCTCGGGATGAAGATCTGCGCGGGCTGCCATGCGCAGGTGCAGCGTATCGTCTCTGTGCAGAAGTAGACCTTGTAGCGGTGTACATCTTCTCCTGATTGCGTCGTCTGCGCCAAGTTGTAATCGCATTGACGCAGACGGTTCGCAAGTATGCGTAGTTCCGTACGGATACGTCCCTGTCCCATAGCTGCATGTCGAGCTCGAGACAGCGGAACTCACGCACCTGCTCATAAAAGAGAGCGCAAAGAACAGGATCTTCGGGGCGATCGACTGAGATACCAGCGAGAACATGATCCCACCGATTGGAGAAGGCTTCCAGCCTTGCCTGCTCGGATCCATGAGTAAACCGATCAATCGTGGTCTTCATCAGGTCAACGAGCTTGAAAGTCGAATCGCCGGTAACATGTGGTCGAAGGAAATCATACAATAGCCACAAGATCTGCCTACTTCCGAGTCGCCGGTTTATCGTATGCATGCGCTCGGTCTCGGTCCGGATCTTATTCTTCAGTGCGATGGATCGGACGCACTCGCGGAACGCAGAGTTGCATTCATTTTCAAGCATTCCGTACTTGCACTCATCGAGGAGATCCTCATATCGTGTACCATCGGGAATCTCAACCCATGAGAGTGCGTATCCGGGATCGTAGGCGAATGCGTTCGCGACTCGCTCTTTCATATCGACGATCCAGCGTCGCAGCTGAGCGGGCTCCGGCTCGGGATCGAGACGAAAGGACTTGCACTTTGCCTTCTTGGCCTCGCTCAGCGATCCATCGCCCTTGGGTCCACCGAATCCCGAATCGTTGGGACCAGGTGGATTCCCAGTCTGTCTCTCAAGACACACGAGACAGATTCTCAAAGGATCTCGGCAACATCCGTTGCAGCACGAGAATCGGCAAGATATGCATGACCGTCGCACGGTGATCGGGAAAGTTCCGGTGCATCGCTCGCACTGGAACGTATCGTTCCCACTCGGCCGACCGGAGGGCCTGATGCTAGGCGGATCAAGGCCGCCATCGGGCGGACCACTCCCGTCAGGAGGGCCACCACCACCAGGCGGACCACCAGGTGGGCCGTCGGGTGGGCCACCACCGCCACCGGGGCCAAAACCGGACCCGTGGTGTCCATGTCCTCCGAAGCCACCGCCATATGCACCCCCATTATCGTTGGGGCCATCACCACCAGAATAACCGCCGCCTCCGTTATGCGCGGGCGGTGGTCCACCAAATCCGGATGGCGCGGCACTGGGTGCAGGAACGGACGTTCTGGCACTGAAGGTAGGCATCGGGGGCATGGCATCGTTGGCTGCATCATGCTGAAGCGTCGCAGTAACGCTCGTGTTCGGCGCAAGGGTAAAAGTACCGGTCTCACTATGGAGAATTGGTGCGCCAGCACTGTTGCCAATGAGATTTGACCGGCCAAGCATCGCATCATACCATCGTGATGGTCCCTTCCCTGCCGGGACAGTTCGAGTATCATAGGAGATTTGGCATGGGAGGGTCGGGCTTGACCTGGGCTCAGGAGCGAAGCTCCGGGCTTCAGGGATGTGTCGGATGTCAGCGCGAGAAGCATCATCGACTTGAAATGGCCTGAGGCTCGGAGTCTGACCGGAAGTCGCTCCGGCGGCATTTGCGGAAGGAACGGCCTGGTTCGGCGATCTTCCTGAAAAACACGCCGACGTTTGGCCGACATTATGTCGGATGGGCTCAACAGGATTATTTTGCCCGCGACTTTCGGCAGGTTGTTCGTCAGCGATTCGTTGCTGCGCTCGCCTCAGAATTTCATCGAGATTGATTCCACTCGTCTGAGAGTGAACCGTTGAGGCCTTTTCAGCAGGCGCAGCGTTGCATCCCGGCGGAGAGCCATGATCGATCGGACCCAACAGGGAAAACCTCGGAATGGCCGTAGTCGGTCCGCCAGGGAATAGAGCACCTGGAACTGGCGGCAGGTCCGCGGGGCGTGGAATATCCCCACCATGGTCACTGATATCGAAGAACTGCGTCCGTTCCGGACGCGAAGGCGTCGATCTATCAGAACCGCCTCTGCGGACATGAGCGTTCTCGAGGTGCTGAATCCGAGCAGTCAGCTGATCGATATGAGCTCGGTTACTCTCCTTATGATCGTAGAGAGCGCGACTCATCTCGGATCTGATGACTTCGATGCGGTGAGTAGCATTCTGCTCCACCGCAGCAACGCGCGCTTCAGCATTAGAGATATTGATCTGAATCTGCCGCAGCGCGTCTGGGTACTGCTTGATGTGGCGGATCGTTTCGGCAAGCTGCATGGATAGCGATCCAGCACGCTTTTCGTTGAACTGATGGATCCGCTCATCGAACTCAATGAGTCGATCGTTGATCGTCGAAGTGAGCTTCGCAAAATGATCTTCAAGCGTCTCGTGATCAGAAATCCGCCTCTCACGGAAAGAGTCCTGGAACTGCATGAACAGCTCACGCTCTTTCCTCAATTCGGCCTGAAGAAGCTCCCACATGTCTCGGATCTTGTTCTCAAGGGCTTCGGTAATATCCGAGACGCCGTTCTCGGCTGCCGGATCAAAAAAAAAATAAAAGGGGATCAAAAAAAAAATAAAAAATTCAGGATCAAAAAAAAAATAAAAAGGGATCAATATAAAAATAAATGTGGAAACAAAAAGTGTGTATTTGCACGGATTTAGTGTGTATTTGCACACATTTTGTGTGTGTTTGCACAGATTTTGCGTGTATTTGCACGGATTTTGTGTGTATTTGCACACATTTAGTGTGTATTTGCACAAATGTGTTGTGTATTTGTACACATTTAGTGTGTATTTCCACACATTTACTGTGGATTTTGTCTGTATTTGCACGGATTTCGTGTGTATTTGCACACATGTAGTGTGTATTTGCACACATTTAATGTGTATTTGTACACATTTAGTGTGTATTTGCACACATTTAGTGTGTATTTGTACACATTTAATGAATTTAGTGTGTATTTGTACACATTTAGTGCGTATTTGCACGCATTTAGTGTGTATTTGTACACATTTAGTGTGTATTTGTACACATTTAGTGTGTATTTGTACACATTTAGTGTGTATTTGCACGGATTTAGAGTGTATTTGCACGGATTTAGTGTGTATTTGCACGGATTTAATGTGTATTTGCAGACATGTGGTGTGTGTTTGCACACATTTAGTGTGTATTTACACACATTTAGTGTGTATTTGCACACATTAGTGTGTATTTGCAAGAGTTTTGCGTGTATTTGCACGGATTTAATGTGTATTTGCACACATGTAGTGTGTGTTTGCACACATTTAGTGTGTGTTTGCGCACATTTAGTGTGTATTTGCACGGATTTAGTGTGTATTTTTGTACACATTTAGTGTGTATTTGCACACATTTAGTGTGTATTTGTACACCTTTAGTGTGTATTTGTACACATTTAGTGTGTATTTGTACACATATGGTGTGTATTTGTACACATTTACTGTGTATTTGCACGGATTTACTGTGTATTTGCACGGATTTTGTGTGTATTTGCACGGATTTGCACACATTTATGTGTATTTGCATAGGTTTTGTGTGTATTTGCACGGATTTAATGTGTATTTGCACACATGTAGTGTGTGTTTGCACACTTTATAAGTGTGTGTTTGCACACATTTAGTGTGTATTTGCACGGATTTAGTGCGTATTTGCACGGATTTAGTGTGTATTTGCGCGGATTTGGTGTGTATTTGCACACATCTAGTGTGTATTTGCGCGGATTTTGTGTGTATTTGCACACATCTAGTGTGTATTTGTACACATGTAGTGTGTATTTGTGCACAGTTAGTGTGTATTTGTACACATTTAGTGTGTATTTGCACGGATTTAGTGTATTTGCACACATTTAGTGTGTATTTGCACGGATTTGGTGTGTATTTGCACACATTTAGTGTGTGTTTGCGCACATTTAGTGTGTATTTGCAAGGATTTAGTGTGTATTTTTCTACACATTTAGTGTGTATTTGCACACATTTAGTGTGTATTTGTACACATTTAGTGTGTATTTGCACACATGTAGTGTGTATTTGCACACATGTAGTGTGTGTGTGTGTGTGTGTGTGTGTGTGCGTGTGTGCACATTTAGTGTGTATTTGCACACATTTACTCAAAATTTAAAATGTATTTGTACACATTTACTGTGTATTTGTACACATATAGTGTGTATTGCACGGATTTAGTGTGTATTTGCAGACATTTTGTGTGTATTTGCACACATTTAGTGTGTATTTGCACGGATTTTGTGTGTATTTGCACGGGTTTAGTTTAGTGTGTATTTGCACACATGTAGTGTGTGTTTGCACAGATTTAGTGTGCATTTTTGCACAGTGTGTATTTGCAGACATTTAGTGTGCATTTGCACACATTTAGTGTGTATTTGTACACATTTAGTGTGTATTTGCACACATTTAGTGTGTATTTGTACACATTTAGTGTGTATTTGTACACATTTAGTGTGTATTTGTACACATTTAATGTGTATTTGTACACATTTAGTGTGTATTTGTACACATTCAGTGTGTATTTGTACACATTTAGTGTGTATTTGCACACATTTAGTGTGTATTTGTACACATTTAGTGTGTATTTGCACACATTTAGTGTGTATTTGTACACATGTAGTGTGTATTTGTGCACATTTAGTGTGTATTTGTACAGATATGGTGTGTATTTGTACACATTTACTGTGTATTTGCACACATTTAGTGTGTATTTGCACACATGTAGTGTGTGTTTGCACACATTTAGTGTGTATTTGCACAAATTTACTGTGTATTTGCAAAGTTTTTGTGTGTATTTGCACGGATTCAAGAGTACAAGAGGACCAGGGGACCAGAGGACCAGGGAACCAGAGGACCAGGGGACCAGAGGACCAGGGGACCAGGGGACCAGAGGACCAGGAAGCCTAGCTCTTGATTGAGCGTTTATTTTGTTTTTGATCCTTTTTTATTTTCTTCTTGATCCCTTTTTATTTTTTTTTTGATCCTTTTTTATTTTTTTTTTGATCCCTATCCCTCTCCTCAGTATATCGAGGTCGGCTTGGGTGTTGGTCACACCCTGCGCGATCGCCAGAATATCGGTGGCGATGCGCGCGGATGCTTCCGACCCAATGGCTTCATCGACCAGGGCCCTGACAGCACAGGGTCCGGTATGCCACCCGCCGTTATCGATGGCGGGGGCAGCACCACCATGACCCGCCGCGGTAATCGTTGCGACGGAATCATGGGGTGCACCCGGATGCTCGCTTATGGGCTCGTCGGGGAGCGAAGCTCCACCGCGGCCAGCCACCGGCCCATAGGAATCGGGGCGCGGTGGGCGGAAGGACGCCGGGTCCGAAATCGGTGGACCACGGCCGTCCGGCCCGGACCCAAAAAGGGCCCGAGCGCCCTCTGGATCCCCGCGAAGGGACAGAGGACAAGCTGAAAGATCGGTCGGAAGAAGGGTAGGTGCGGAAGCAGCAGGAGCAGCGGACGCAGAAAAGGCAGGCAACAAAGGCAAAGCACGAGCGGTGGCAGAAGCAGGCAGCATGCCGGCGGGCATCGTGCCAGGCGTTGCGAAAGCAGCAGCAGCAGAGCATGGCAAAGGCGGCGCATGGTGCTGAGCTCTCTGATCGTCCTCAGCAGGCGGCGAAGCAAGCAGCGAAGCAGAGCGAGCGAGCGAAGCGTGCGAGGCGGGCGCAGTGCAGCGAGATGCGTGGGCACTATCATCGGGCTCCACGACATCCCGAGCAACTGGCGTCACTAGTGAAGAACCGACAGTCGAGGGGACACGGGGAGAACCGAACGGAGTCGCCATTCTCTCGGTGGCGCGGCCAATCACAAGTTCCGAACTTGGTCTGAGCCAGGAAAACGGTAGTGATCGGACGCTGATTGGATCAGGCGGTCCGAGTGCCAAGCAGCAGCAGCGAAGCAGCAATCCACAATCGGATGCGGAGGCCTTACGGCTGATAACCTATGAAAAGCGGAGGATTCCACTCAACTTTCGGTCACAAAGCCCAAGGCAACCAATCGTAGATAGAAGCAAGGCAGCAGGCAAAGCAAGGAAGATCAGAGATTAAAACCGTAAGGTTGACACGGTTTAGGGTTTAGGGTTTAGGACCTCCCTCCTCCCTGTCTCCAAACCCCAAAGCCGAAATCGGAAACAGCCATATCTTAAGCCGCGCGTCCCCCCACACGTCGTGGGGTTCCAGGCCGGCTCTGTGTGGCACACAGGGTGAGGTCAAGCTAGCTGTTTACAGGAAGTCGTTTTGTGGATTCCATGTTAGGTGTTTCAATCTTCTGAAAATACAGGCTTTCAGGCAGTCCCTTCCTCCACATAAAATTGAACGGTTGTGCCCCTCTGGCAATAAACACTCGAAGAGCGGTTCTAGTAGTAGAGGGTGCTTGTCATCGCTACCTCAATTCTGGTAGTAAGGCCTCGCATGCTTCGTTATGCACTTGAGACAAGAGAAAACGAGAGAGCGAGAGAGCGAGAGGGCGAGAGCAAGATAACGCACCCCCGCACAGGGCAGGGAAGGGGAGAAAAGCAACGAAAACTGAAACACCCCGAACCCCAATGCACAGACTCCAGGCCAAGACCACAGGACGCGGTCTAGGCGGTAAACCATGTAGGCTTTTGGTTCAATTTCAGAGCGTGTGTCCTGCTTTATGCCGCTCCTGGTCCAAGCCGTATCTGAACATCCGTACACTCAACAGCCCAACGAGCTCGTTGCTGCCTGCACCACCGCTTGGCACAGCAGCTGCAGGCCCTGGCAGCAGGCCGACAAGCTGTACAATGCTGATCTTGCATGACTCTGCGCAAAATATCTCTCGGGGAACTCCCCAAGTGCCTATGCAGATCTCGATTTGTAACTCGTCGTTCTTGCAGGTCTTCTATGATCAGCTCTTCAACACAGTTTCGTATGCATGTTCAATAAAAAGCAGGTTTCGGGTCCCTTACATCCGGCCTCAAGGCCCAAACCCCTTAATTTCGGGACTGAACAGCCTGTAGGACCCCTATAGTAATGGAAGCCCTGTCAAGCAGTCTACAACATGTACGGCGGAAGCCCGAAACCCCTGGAATGCCTCTGTTATACCCCAAACGGCCGCTGCAAAGGACCATGTCATGGCACCTTCTTGTGGTATACCTGGCAGCGTCCTGGAAAATCTGAATCATGCATAGATAGAAGTGCATATAAACCTATGCGGCTCCTATATGATCAGAAAACCACAACACACCATCCTCCTAATACCATGAATCATAAAACACTGTTGTGCTATCCCACGTCTTGCGCAACGACTCTCACCATCCGAAGTCCCAAAGTGCCTATGCAAGGCTCGATGTTTAAGCCTTTTCATCAGACTGTGATCATGTCGCAGGGATTGCATAATGTTACCGAACGAAATCCCAAGCTCAAGAACCGTGCGAGCTGGCGGAGTCCTTGTGGTACGTCCCATTGAGCGCCGTCACAGCTGCTACGGCTGCCTCAATGGTGTTGTGGGATGCCTCCGATTTACACCTGGAGAACTGCCTCCTCTTCCATGTAATTTTCATCAGGTGAGGAGCGGGTCTATACGGCGTAGATAGGATGACACCCATCATGTTGCAAGCCTAGCTTATGGCAGCACCCTTCGTATCATCATTGGCAACTACGCTAAACACGGATTGGGCCCTCATCCCGTCCGCTTGAGTGGAATGCTTCATATGCAGCCCCGGCACTGCCCAAAGCTCCTCCCTCACTGCAGCCGCCTGAGCGCGGAGCTTTCGGCGGCTAGAACGCTAGGGCTCCTCGGGGGTCCTTTCGTTGTTGTGTCGGCTGTCTGGGTCTACTGTACGACGGGGCACGCGCTGCCTGGACCCTTAGATCCTTCCCGAAACCCAAACCCTGAGCCCCTACTATTAGGTTTTTTTTGCTAATGTGCAATGGGTCATTCTCCGCAGCGAACTGGTGCTATTAGGTTTGGGGTGTAAGGCTGGACAGAAGATGTCGGTCTTCGGGAAACGGTGTTGATGGAGCTAGGGTTTCGACTGCAGGACGTGGGTGGGGGTGTTATCTGGCGTTTGGTTTCCGGGCTTGGGGCTGGGCATTTGTAACATTATAAACCTTGTACTCATTCCGCCTCGAGGATGAGAACGCTCATGAATCCATGAATTCTCGGGGCGGTGTTTCCACAGGGTCCAAACACAAGTGGGCATCAGGGATTGACATATGAGATCTCCTGGCAGAGTGCTATGCGTCTCGGGTGCCGAAGGAAAGGCAAATTCCAGCATAGGACTTGCCTCTCATGTTCGTTCACCTAGCCTACTCAAGGCCTGTCTCACGAGCCTTCACAGCCTAAGGGTCTAGGGGTAAAACGCTGCAGCGGTTAGGGTTCAACGAAGGGTCGAGGTTTTCTGACCCCATCCTGGCTCACTGTCGCATGCAGAATCCCCACCATATCCGGCCACTCGGGAAGGAGTGTGGTGCTTAATCGCCTACTAACAAGCGTTTGTATCCCTTATCTAAACTATGCACTTCTTCAAGAATGGGGCTACCTTGAAATCAGGTCGCTTCTAGAAGATTCCAAATAGTCTGTCCTCCGCACTCATGATTTTTCCGGCCTTCACGGGGGGTAGTCGTCAGGGGCCGAAAAACAGTTCCGGGGGTCGGAAAACGTGCTGCAGGGGGTCAGAACGACAACCTCTGGGGGAGGGGAAATCGGGTGGTCGGGCAAGTGGGCAAAAAGCAACCCGAACAAGTTAGTAGCCATCGTTGGTGGCAGACTCGATTATCGGGTTTCGCACTCGGGGCCGCGAGGCGACAGCATTTGCTGCGCCGGGTCGGCGAGCCAAGCAAAATCCAAAGAACCCCGGTCTGAGCATCATAAAACCAAAACATCTGAAAGGTTCAAACCAAGTCAGACTGCACCTAGACTCTGAGACTCAAAGAAGCTGTCGAGAAACAGGCCTCCACTGGTGTCCGCAATGTAATAACCAGAACCGAAATAGCGGCGCAACGGTGCGGTGTTGGACAGGGCTTGCACGATGCTATTGAGGTAACACCTGCAGGCGGGAGGCTCCAGCCATGCAACACTCAAGCTTCGATCGATGCGGCCCGGAGACGTGTTGCCACGGTTGCGGAGCCCGGCCGTGCCCGCAAGCTTGTTCGCCGTGCCGCGTTCCACCAGTCCTTGGGAGGCGCGAGGAAGATTGTGACTTATCGACTATTGAGCAGTGAGGGTTGGGCCCTTGTCTACCAAGACTGGAGCCACGCCATGATCTTAAGTCTTAAGGTGCCCAGTTGCTCCGTTGCTCCACAAAGCTTCAACTGTGGAACGAACCCTAAAACTTTTTCCCTAAACCCTAATCTATGCCGAACCTGGCACCCGAGCAAAAATTACAAGCCTGGCTGAACCCTAAACCCTAAACCCTGTTTAGGGAAGTTTAGGGTTTGTATGGCGTGGTTTAGGTAAGTATCTCGGGCTTTGGCCCGAGGTTTCTAATAGGATTGAACTCCTGTGCTGGTAGTGCCCTTGTAGCTGAAGTAGCTTCAGGGCCGTCATGATTGGAATAGGGTGCTGCGCGGCCTCCAAAGAGTGCTGTAAGGTTTTCGAACAGCGGTCTTGTTTGAACACAGTCTGAGTCTTGGGTTTGCTGGAGCATACTCATAAACGCAACGGCCATAAGGGGGCGCACCCCCTACATTAATGCTTAGGGAGTAGACATGAGGGTTGGCAGTTAGTTTAAAGGCGATTCAACAAATCCACGGAGGCAAAGTCGATGTTCGAGTGTGGGGTGTACGGTTGAGGATGCTGGATCTTCGGGGTTTTGAAAGCGATGACCACGAGAACGGTCCTGATGATGAGGATCCGATTATTTCCGGTCGATGCTTGCAATCTCAGGTTTCTGAAATGCCCTTAGTACTGCAAAGCCTAAATTCCGTAAGCCCCAAAACCGTGAACCTCGTACACTGGGCTCAACGCAGATCCTAAACCGTAAACACAGAAGCCTGGGCTCAACAATCAGAGCTCAAACCGACCCCAAAACCCACAAGCCTAAAGCCGTAAACCCCTCAAAACACAAACACAGCTCAAAACCAATAAGCCGTAACAGCCCTATGCCCTCCATTCGTAGAAACAGTGGCGGTGCTGCTCGAGCAATGCCTGCTGCAGCCTGGCACGAGGCGGAAACCCAAAACCTGAAACCCTAAACTGCGGCTTAGTTAGGGTCTCGGGATCAAGACCCACCCGAAGTCTTCCCTTAAACCTTCGTGCTCTTTAAGGGCATGGTATACCAGGCGAACTCCCACGCACTTATCGCCAGCAAAAAATCTTCACTCGTGCTGCACGGACATCGGAAATAAGCCCGACGGCAAAGACACAGCTGAAAGCCAAGCCAAAGACCTTGCTCTCAGCAGCCCTGTGCCTCTTCCGGTGTCAGGTTGGATGACCTTAACCACTGCAAAACCTAAACGCCTGGATGCCTGCCTCTCTCGTCCATTAGGAGGTCGGAGGATTAATCTATAACGAAATGCTATCTGTCAACAGCCGCTTTGACAAGTTGTGCTTCACACAGTTTGCTCAGGGATCCGACAGAACCTACATCTTGGGGGGCGCTCTGCATGCTCTCCTGCCAGCTTAGCCACCTCTGTCGATCCGCAATGTCGCTGCAATGTGGTTTAGATAAGTAGCTTTGAGCTCCTCACGTCTGAGCAGGTCGCATCCAGTGGAATCTGGGAGTGTCTCATCGCCATCTTCAGAACAGAAAGAGCAGTACCTGAGATGGCGGCTTTGAGCAGCTGCATCCCAGTCTACAGCACGCTTTGACATCGCTGTTTG